GCGATCCTGTTACCAGTCACGAAAAAAGACAAAAAGGAAAAAAAAAAAAAACTGGAAGTGAGGTAGCACTTCAGACCCATTAAGATGGCTATGTTTAAAAAAAACCCAAAGAACAGAAAATAACTAGTGTGGGTATGGATGTGGAGAAATTGGGAGCCCTCCTGCATTGCTGATGGTAATGTGTAAAATGGTACAGTCACTGTGGAAAGCAGTTAGGCAGTTCCTAAGTGGGGCTTTTCATTCTCACTTCCTTCATCTTCTGTGTGTCATATCCTCTTTAGCAGTTTGATTCCCTTGGCTCAATGTGCTCATCTCCTTGAGCAGTCCTGCCTTAAGCTCAGGTTTGCTGGGTATATTGATTTTTATGTTCTGCATGGACAGAAATTAGGTCACTTTGGTGTTTTAAAGTTTTAAGTCCATACTCAAAGACACCGATTCGTTTTCAACCTAATTGATGATCCATGTTATTAATACTAAATTCTTTGATAAAGCTAGGGCTCTTAATGCTGGTAAGTGTAATAAAATTTTGTTTTTAAATATTACAGTTTTCTCATTACTGAGCATTCTAGAGGTGGTACACATGCCCGTTGTATGTATAACATTGCACTGTGTGGTCAGGGTAGCTGACTGTGATGGAGTTCTCAACTTAGTCCTCACAGGAGCTGTGATTATCTGGTGTCATGAGGCTTGTATTGTTCCACCTTCCCTCCACTCTTCCAGTCCTCTGCACTGCAGGGCAGGGCCGGGCCTTCCTGCTCTGACTGCTGGGCTGGCGGGGGCTCCGTAGGCTTCACGAGGAAGGGCTGGCTTGTGTTTGTGCAGCTGGACCTTCCTCGTAGATCATGTGCTCGACAGCTCGGGTACTTCTCAATAACTTTTTTTCCCTCCAGAAAAGCATTCACGGTACATTTTGAGGAATATGTTATATAAAGCCTTAAACAAAAGTGTATTTTTGGATCTAGTATGGTAACAATCCCAGTAGGAATAAAGTTATTCAAATTCTTTTTCATTTGGTGGGAAAAGTAGCCAATGCCAAAGAATTTGTTCCTTTAATTTTTTCATGCCAGAACTTTGAATTGGTAATCCAGCTAACTACATGTGTGTAATGTTCAGTGTCTGAATTTCTCTTCGGGATGTGTTTTGTAGGTCTCCATCACATTTTTGCCCAGAGATAGGGGGGATTATGCCCAGTTTTGGGATGCTGAGTGTCACCCACTTAAAGAGCCTCACATGAAACACACGCTGAGATTTCAGCTGTCTGGACGAGTAAGTGTTAAACTGAATTTAAGTAAATTATTGTGTGTATATTGAAAATACTAAGTGAAACTGACATGAAAAACTGGCCTGAAAATGCAGAATATTTTCCTGGTATTATCCCAGTTTTACTAATTCTGTTGTATAGCCCTATAATCTTAATCTTATTGACTAGCATATTTGAGTTCTGGGTTTTGCTCTATTGTCCATACAGCACATGAAACCTATGTTTCATGTAATTATGTAAGATACTCTGTGTGTGAGGGTGGGGGGAGAGAGAAGGAGGAACTAGACAGTACACAGTATAGGGTTTGCAGTTAGGGGATTTAAAAATCCTAAGTCACTTTTTAAAAAAAAATTTAAAGGAAAGGGTAGAATTCAGATGGGTAAATGTCCATATATTTCCTAGAGTGCTTACTTCCTCTTCCCCCACCCTGTGATGTTTCTATACAGAGTGTCAAAGCAGAAAATGAATCTGAAGGTGCATGCGTGTCCATGGCCACCCTCGCTAAAATAGATAATTTAGTTAAGCCCCGAAGACAAGCTGTGTCAGCAGCTTCTGCTCTCATACCTGGGTATGTTGTTTTAAATTTTTTTTCAGTGCTTCATTGAGATATAGTTATATTCAGTAAAATTCCTAGTGACTTTACCTATGAGTTCACGTGGATTACTGCCACTCCAATCAAGAGATGGAATATCCCCTTACTGACCAGCTGCCAAATTTTTTTTAAAAAAAATTCTCTCACCTCAGAACATTATGTGTTCCTTTACAGTCAAGAGTTGTTCTGTTCTGATTTCGATCATCGTAGATTAGTTTTGCTTGAACTTCGTATACATATGCACTCTTTGTATCTGGCTTTTTTCTCTCAACCTAACATGTTTGGGGATTTATTCATGTTATTGAATGTACCTATATATAGTTTGTTCCTTTTTATTGTTTAGTATTCCATTATATAAACATATCACAGTTTGTTTTCCTGTCAGCATTTGGGTATCTTATAATTTTGGGCTTGAATTAAGTTACTATGAACTTTATGTGCATTTCTGTGGACATTCATTTTCATTTCTTTAGGATAAAAATACCTAATTTTACCCAAAATTGCTGGGTCACATAAGAATGTGTTTACTTTTAAAATAAGCTGCCAAATAGTTTTCCCAAAGTGGTTGTACCATTTAACATTCCTATAAGCAGGATATGAAAGTAGATTCTTGAAAACTTTAAAATATAAATTTTATCCCAGCATCTTACACAGCTTTAATGATAATACTTAAGTATTCTACCTAATGAAAATGTTTTTTATAATCCTTAGTTAACTAATAATTAGGTCTGATTTAGTTCTGGAGGAAGATGCACGGAAGAAAATATATGCTAAATGCCTACCAAATTTAATATAAATGTGGTTGTTTATTTTCTAATTGGAGCACATGATGCATTTTGGAGGATATTAGAGCCCTTTAAGAATATGTGTTCTTGACACACACTCTAGGCTGTTCTTCCATTCATCTCATACTTGCTGTGCACTCCTCTTTTCTGGGGAACTGGGGATGAGAGCAGAATGCCCCATCCCACCTCCATGGCTGGAGGAGCCATGTCCTTCTGGAGGAGGAGCCACATCAACCTAGTAATCACACTAGAGTGTTTGATTGCAAACGTGGAAAGGACTGGAGGGAAACATGGAAAAGAAACTTCCCAGAAAAATGGGGCATTTGAACTGAGGAGGATGAGTGGAGATAGCCTGGGAAGAGGATGGAAAAGTTCCCGGCTGTGTGAAGGACAGGGCGGCAGAGATAGTTGGCTCTTCAGGAAGCAAGGGATAGCTGCAGGTCTGGAGCACAGCATGGGAAGGCAGTGTGAGGTGAGGCTGGAGGGGAGGAGGGCAGAGTGCAGACAGTGCAGCGCCTGTGCATCAGGCGAGGAAGAGCTGTCGGAGCTGCGGCATGACTGGATCCTCTGGCGTGGTATGGGCCGATTAGGAGGCGGCAAGAGTGGACATGCTAAAATAAGTCAAGGCTATTTTTAAGTGGTCCAGGAGTAAGATAGTGTCAAGGAAGAGGAAGAGAACGGACAGATTTGAGGAATATATAGAAAGGAAACTTGAAGGCCTCAGGGATGGATTGGGTAAAGGAGAGAGAAGAGGGTGTCAAGGTCGGCTCCAGACACCCTTCTCTGAGACAGGAGATACCAGTGGGGGGATCAGGTTGGAGGAGAAAGGTTGCATCTGTGGAGACTGAGATGGCTTTGAGATATCCAGAGGAAGATGACTGTGTGGGATTGAATATACGGGTGTGTTGCTCAGAGGCTAAGTCTGAGCTAAGCTGTGAGTCTGGGCACTGCACAGGTGCGAGGTCACTGAGCCCACTGTGGGCTGGGATTGCCTAGCGAGAGTATAGTGCACACAGTCAGGATGAGGACACAAGGGCCAAACCTGGGGCAAGAGCCACAGAAAGGAGGGAGGGGAGGGAAGCTGGCAAAGACTGAGGAGTAGCCAAAGAAACCATGTGTTGTCAGCAGAGTGGCTCTATCCATGTGACAGTTCAGAGTAGCCAGGTGAAATGAGCTAAGGGTTTGAGGCTGGTAGAGAGCCAGGCTTTAATGAGAAAATGCTGTGACGGCAGAGCTTACAGAGCATCGGCTAACCAGCACCTTTTAGGACACTGTGGCCATTTTACCTTCACGTAGATGAGGTAAGGTGCGGTTGCAAAACGACTCTAAAATAAGTTGTATGAGAAAACAAAAATTAAAGCTACACTGCATAATTTAATATATAAAATAGTTAACTTTAAACCTATTCCAAAAGCAGGCAGCTTGATTTGACTCACCGTGGAGTTTATGCCCCGGAAGATATGTACAGGTTTCTCCCAACTAGAGTGGGGGAATCAAGGACGCTGAAGGTCAATTTGCGAAACAATTCTTACATTACACACGTGGTAAGTTAGAAATATTACTGTGGCTTTTGGAAAAGTAAATGCATTCAACTATTTGATAATAAGTGTTTTCCTGATGAATATAAACTTCTTTTATAGATTATATTTAAATTGTCATATGAGTTAATATGAAAAAAATTCCTTAATACTATATTTGAAAAGGAACTCATTGGAAGCTGATGACCCTTAATTTGAAAATCAAAAATATTGTTTTGATATTTTAATTTTTAACTTTCTTTTTTTCTTTCTACTGTACTATCACACAGACATATTTTTGGGTGACATTTACTTTAGTCAAAACTAGAGTAAATTCATGTTAAAATTCCTTTAAATGTGTTTTCATTACATGAGCATTTATTGTCTTACATATACTTTGGGGGCTATGCCTAAATTTACAAAATGTGTCTTTATAGAAAAGCACAGTATGTTTTATACATGCTAAAATATCTAATTTGCATAACTTCATAAAGTGTTTCTTATTAAATTCCAGCTGAAGTTTTTAAGTCCCAGAGAGCCTTTCTACGTCAAACATTCCAAATATTCTTTGAGGTGAGTTTATCATAAATCATAACATCCTCATCAGTGGTCCAGGACTTTTCCCTTGGGACTTAGAGCTCATGAGGTCTCCTCTGTTGTAGCCATTCCCAGATGCCCGTTTTCCTCACCAGCATCAGAGAACAGTAAGCACATGCACCTTTATAAGCAGCAAAAGAGAGACTGTCCACAATTACATTTGTCAGTGTAGCACCCTATAGTGTTTGGACCTACCATGTGATTCCTCTTACTGAAGGTTTTGCCAGCCATATAAATACATAGAGCCTTAATTATATTGTGATTAGCTTTTAGAATAATTGCTGCCTCAAGTGTTATTTTCACTGGTATACTGAGAATCAAGGACTTAGATTTTCACTAATTGGGACAAAAACCTTCCCAGATTAATTGAAAACTTTTATTGTGGTATTTTCCAGTTGTCATTCTTTAGATACCCTACATTGCTCTTAAATCAGGGCCTTATTTTCTTGCCATCCTTGCTAATTTTCTTTTCCTATAGAACATTTAGTTTGTAATCTTAAACTAGGTTGTCACTGCTATTTAAAATT